GAGAGAGAGAGAGAGAGAGAGAGAGAGAGAGAGAGAGAGAGAGAGAGGAAAACACACACACAGAAACAACATAAGAATTGATGAACAACACTAAAAATCCAAAACAAAACAATCCTAGCCACAAGCAATAGCTGCTTCGCGTTGCAATCATTGAAGGAAATAAGAAATAAACAGATGCAAAGAAGAAACAATTCACTTGGTCTTTGGAGTTTGAGACCGAGCCGATGACTTCTTTTTTCTTTCGTTTGTTTTAGTAAATAAACACTAATATAAAACTATTATAAACATATAGAATATTGCATAAAATGAGAGACACAAAAATGATAACAACGATGATGATGATGATGATGGAAATGAAACTCACAACAACAACGGAATTGTAGAAAAAGAAAAGAAATATGAAATGAATTAGTCAAGTTAGGAGAAAATTGAAACGGAACCAACGCATTTGGCCAAGTTTGAATAAACGCTGGATTTGTTCGTTTTCGACCCCATAATATTGACAAAATTGTATGAATGTAGACATAAATACATTTGTGTGCGGGATAAAAAAAAACGCGACAAATCTCTCAAGACGAAAGAAGAAACAAATTCAAACAATTTTAACATTTTTTTCTGTTTTTTTCTTCTAAATATTGTATGCTTTAGTTTGTATGGCAAAATGTTGAGCATAAAAAAAAACAATAGAAAATAATTAATTTTCTTTCTTTTTTTAAAAGTAAACAACAATAACAACAACACCACAATAATAGAGAATGTGCGATTGATAAGAGTTATAAAAACGTATACATTTTGAAACAACAACAAGAGATACGTTTGCAAGCGTTGCCAGCACATATCGTGTGTGTATCGATTGTTTTGGACTTTAATCCTTATATTATAAATACACACACACATCAATTCCAAAAAGTCTAGTTTTTCTTTCACAATTTTAGAGTAATTGTTCTCTCGAAATAGTTTAGTTTTTTTTTCTTGAATACACAATAATTCGCCTTTCAAAATACTATATCGTCCTGCTTCCATTTCTCTCGTTTGCTGCCTTCCATGCACAACAACAAAACGCATTGATGCTGCACGATCCGAGATCGTTTGGTATTAGCAGCGAGAGAAACGAGAAGAAAAAAATCAAAAAAATGCCATCAAAGAAGAAAACAAAAATTGAAAAAAAATTCTTACACAAGCAATGACCCAACATAATTTATGTATGTATAAAGTTATTTTAAATAAACAAAAAAAAGAGCTCCAAAAATGGTTGTGTGTTTTGCAAAGAAAGAGGAAAATTGATGAAAAACAGATATGAACAAAAAAAATAATGTAATTTTTTTGCTTTGGAAGGTTTATGTTAATAATTCTTTTGATAATTTTTATTTTTTATTTAAAATATCATTTAGATTGAGTTTGTGTCGAAATAAACTCTTGATTCTTTTTTTTGTACTACGTTATAATGAATGCAAATCACTACTTAGCATGTAGATTATGAATACATTTTAACAATTGCATGTTCTTGTGTGCTTCGTTATTTTTGGCACTTCGGCTTTTTCGTTTCGGACGTTTTGGTTGTGTCAATTTCATTGTGCATAGAACAATTGGCGCAAAAATATCCGACGAATTCGTTGCGGCCGAAATAAACACGCGCAAGATCATGCTTTCAAAAAGTTTTTTTTAGACAAAAAAAGTGGCCAAGTTAAAACAGACAATTAGAGAGCGAATGTTTTCGGTTCTTGACAAGAAATTACATTCTTCCATTTATTTTTAATAAAAAAAGCAACAGCAACAACAACAATTGTAATTAATTTGTAATAATTTGTTTGTAGTTTGTATTATCAGCACACACTTAATTGTTTATTGCCTGTTCAGTTCATCGACGGTGCGTTATACAGAGTGCTTCTCTGTTGTTTTATTCGATTCTATCTGAAATGAAATGCAATCGCGCTGCAAAGTGCGATTTCTTGAACTGCCTCCACTATATGACCGTTCGACGTACGAAATCTGATTTACATCTTTATTCATTTCGACCATTGTCCCGTTTTCGATTTGGTCTCCACCTCCTCAAACACCACATATTTTCCAACAACGTTTTTGTTTTGTTTTAAAATTTTATTGTACAGGTCAGTTCAAAGCCATCAATCCAATGATCCAAAAAAAAAATGAACAAAAATACACAATTTACAATGCTAACTGGAATGAATTTAGAATTTTGTGCTCGATTAGACAACATCCTCCCCACCCCGAAAAAAACACTATGGCATTAGCAATCTATTGATTTAAGATATTGAGAGGATTCAAGAAATATTGAGAGAAATAAACAATTAAACATAATAATAATTAATAAAAAGAACAAGATTGAATATTTTAAATTGGAAAAAAAATATGAAAAAGAGAGAAAAACTGCCTTTTTAAATAGAATTTAAGTGAATGGAGTAAATATTCGTAGTTAAGGTTTGAGATAAAAACAGAAAAATTAAAAAAACACACACATTTTTTTTTTAAAACGTTTAATTTGCCCAAAAACAAATTGAACGCAGATATAAAAGGATTAAAAACGAAGCGAAAAAATAAAAATAAAAAACAGCATACTGTTAGACAGATTGACAATTTAGTCAAAAAAATAAATACAAATAATAACAACCAAATAATTATTTATTAGATTTTTCCTTCTTCATTTCATATTTTGTTTTTTATTTCTTTGCATAGAAGGAAAAAAACGAGCGACACAACCAAGCAATTTTAATTTGATTAACATTTCTTTGTAATAAAACGCAAAAAAAACACACACTCCCACACACACATTTTAAATAGAAAAACCAACTTTGCAAATATTCGCTATCTCCGAGCACACGATTAGATCGTCATTCGCTCGCGCTGAACATGCTCTCACTGTCATAATTAATTAAAAAGAAACGAAAAAGAAAAGAAATGAATTCATGACCAGTCAAATTATGCAGCACATGTAAATCCCGGTTCGAACTGTGTTTGTAGGAAACGCTTTATGTTTTTTTTTGTCTTTGTCTTCTTTTTTGTTTGTTTTTTGTTTGTTGGTTAACTAATTAGCCGAACATTTAATTCGATTTACTGTGGAATTTAAGACAGATAAAATAAAAAGTTACCATCTCTCAAAACCAATTTATTTTTCCGTTGATGTTATTACTTTTTTTTCTTATCAAAGAATTACAATTCACTTGGTTGATTCACTGATTGCAATATGATTGTCAAAAGTATTTTTTTTGGAATATCAATCACAGTCCACACAGACACAATATCATTTTCCACTCAGAACAAAAAAGAGAAAAAAAAAAAACAAAAAACAATATTATGAATGCAAGAAAACGAAACCAATTTTTCAATTGAATGTTTAATTTTATCGACAAAACAAAACCAGCACATTGATTACTTTATTTATTTTTGCACGTAGAAAAAAATTAACACATCAAATGACAACCGTTGTTTTTCTTCTTCATAACTATTTTACACGATAACAAGAAACCGAAATTTCCACATAACTGAATACATCCGAATCACAAGAAACACAGAAAGGATTATGTTCTATGATATTTTGTAATTATTTACTTTATGGCTAAATAAATAAACGATGAAAGAAACTATTTAAGAAATCGGTGGTTTTTATTTGAAAAGTCTGTTGTGTTGTCATTTGCAGAGTGCAAATTTGCATAAGACACATACACATTGCACAAGGTCATCTGTTGGCAAAAGTCATGACATTGCAACAATTACCGTAATAAGTCAAATTAATTTGATAAATTCTCAACATTATGAGACTTTTTAAGCGGCTTATTTTGATATGATCTTGAAGGTGAGTTCATATAGCTTTAATTGGCCTCTCTGTTTCTTCTTGGGTATGGCGTCTCCCATGTTCGTCGTTGGGTCCACTTTTATCCACAGAAAATCCATTTTTTTAAGCTTCTTCTCAATTATTGTATATCACAAGACGAGCTCGACTTCAACATCGATTTTTCAAGTTCAATTTTAGTTGACCTTCTCGAGACATTTTCTTAACACAATCTACCAACAATTGTTGAAATTGATTACCTTACTCGATTGAACAGTAAAATATCACATATTTTTCGAAATAAAAAAAAAGTTCATTTCCAAATGAAAGTTTCAAAAATCTCCCATCGACTTGATACGTCGAATAAAAAAAAGCTCATATTGACTGATTGGCAAAAACTCCTGAAAGTATGCAACTCAGTTGGATTGCAACCGTTTACGGCGTCATCTTGCATAAAGTTAGATAAAAGGGGTTTGCTTGAGCCGTAGCGTTCTAATATAGCATCGAACTGTTCCATCGTCGTTTGCAGCTATGTGAAACGCCCAACGTTTCCGTCATTCACAAAGGTGTTTAACACACAAGAACCGTAACTGTTTTCAGATCACATCGACAAAAGGTGAGAGCGCACAGCGCACAGCGCATACAATTGAATGAAAACAAGCCAAATGGCATGAAAGAAGAAGAAGAAAAAAACAGAAGAAGAGAAAACTCTGGAGAGAACAAACTAGTAAGCATTGGCGAGTGTGTTGTAGTGTATTTTCCTCTTCTTTTGCTTCTTCATCATAAAGCTGACTCTTGGTTAGTTAGAATGTTTTGTTTGGTTTGGTTGTATTTGCTTCTTCGGTGTTGGGTCACACAATTGCTGTAGGAATTTACATATCGGCTTTCGTGTACCTTTCTTCCATTTCTTCATTCTGATAAACTCATTTACCGCTGTGTGCATTTCGGTCGTACGCTTGTATTCGTGGGATCGCGCACTGTGTGTTGATGTTGATGTGTTCTTCGTCTTCGTCGAAACAGCAGCAGTAGCACGGCCAAAGTCTCGTTTTTGTATTGGTAAACACAGAGATAGAATCGGTCGCAATTGACGCGGAAACCAAGTGACTTAAAGTTCAAAACACACTCCGTTCGCTCATTTGACTTTGGTGTGTTTTCTTTCATCGCGTCGTGGTACTTCAGGAAAAAAAAATACAGTGCAATTTGGTACTTCGGTCGATGCGTGCGTAAATTGAATTATGTCGCACTGAACACTTGATGGGCGATTTCATTTTGAACCATTGTGACTTAAACGCACCGAACGGAGTTTATTTTTGTATAAATTTTATTTTTGTCGCAAGGAAAAAGAGTTGAAGTGATGTGACGGAAACTTGTTTGTCATTGAATGAACGTGTTCTCCAGTGTGATAACACTAAAATAATCATTTGATGCCAATTTGCATATTGCAGAAAAATAAACGGAGAGAGAGAGAGAGAACTTGACTGTCCAAAGTTGGCAATTTATTCAAAAGTGGTGTGGTCATAATCATAATCAAGAAATAGACATCTGCGACGCGCCCATCGGACATTCAGACACAAACAAGAATATTTCGAGTCATATTTTGTGGAGTCGTTTGTGTTAGCGTCATCGCAAGTGCTGCATTGTGATTTTATACATTTTGTCTGGTTCATCTGGAATTTAGTGAAGTGAAAATAACAAAAGACTGAGGCAAAAGAGAAGCGAAGAAAAATTCCGAAAATTATATACATCGAGTTTGAAGAGTGAAGTGAGTGAGAGATAGAGAAGAAAACCGAGCGGAATGACCGCATTTAGGAAATTTCATTTTATTTTCGCTCGCTCGATCCATTGACCATTCAAACGATAAACAGTGATATTCGGTGAAATGTGAGTGAATGAGTGCATTTTGGTGAAATATAAAGAATCCCAAACGGAAAGCTAAGTAAAAAAAAATTTGAAGCAAAAAAAAGATCACACAGGCATCATCATCATCATCATACAAAGAGTAATAACATTAAACCAATGGTGCGGCATGTGATCATCCGCAATAACTCACAAAATTGAAAACAAAAGAATATGATTACGCAGTGACGGATCATTTCTTAAGCAGGCACAGGCAAAAAGATGATGAAAGGGAAACATTCAAACTATACGTGACGAAAGAAACAACTTAGTTACTCCGACTATTTACCATACACACTAGAGATATACACACACACACACACACACACTCACTCACCGAAGAAAAAAAAAACTAAAACAAAAAAGCCAAATCTCTCATTGACGATCATTGCAAATCATCTTTCAACGGATTGTTATGAAACAATTGGCACCGATGCACCTCTTGTGATGTCTATATGAATCATAGTAGTGATTGAATTGTTGATCAATATGAAACGTTGAAAACGAAGGAGAAAAAACAAGCAGCAACGCAACGAATAATTGAAATTGGCCATTTATATAAACAGATTTTTCATTTTCTTCTCTTCGCTTCTCTCATCAAGCCGATTCGGGGCTTTGATCAGTGTGTATCCAAACGCATTTGTTCCATTATCATTTCAGCAAAAAGGCTCAGGCTCATTTATTGTTCATATAGTGCACAGATTAGTTGATAAATTAATAAAGCGAAAGTTGTAGAAAAAAAACAGACATTAAGTAAAATGTTAGTCAAAATGGTGATCGGGGTGTTTATAGCGTTGGTGCCATTATTTTGTGAATTCGATCGTTTCTTTGTCAACAGTCAACTGATAAATAAACCACCATATTTTATACCCGGATCCGGTGATATGTCACGGTTTAGTCTGAACGAAAATACACCTATCGACAGCCCAGTCTACCAATTAAAAGGTAATTAATTCAATCAATTGATCTTTGTTTTTGCATTATTTTGCTCCAACATTTGCGCAAAAACATTTCGCTTTTGTCTTTCGAATCGCAATTTAATTTCATCCGCTAACCACACTGAACGCAACGCCATTGTTCGAACGAAGTCGCTGGAAAATTAAAAAAAAAACGTATAAAACAGAGACACACAACCAATTCTAGACTATAAACAACAATAGTGTTTTGTGCTGATTTCCATTCCATTTTTATTTTTTTACCAAAGAATTCGCTTAACTGTGGCGTGAGAGAATGGTACACTTGACGCGCGTAGAAAAAAAAACAAACCACACGATCTAAAATAAGTGTGTAAATTTGAACAAAACTCTACTCGTGGTAGAATAACTTGCGTTAAATGAAATTAAACGAAAGAAAAAAATATACCATGTATGTCGTTGTGGCCGCAGCCGCCGCCGTAGCCTTTTCGTTTGTTGGATTAAAATAAAATTCTTCTGCGCTGACTAGAAAGCATTAAATGCTTGTAATTGGTGTGCATTAGCACAAATGCTGTATGTGCCACATGAAAAACGTGTGCGAAACGTTTCAGACTCATAGCGTGAAATTGACGCGGAAAATTTAGCTGATCGAATGAACGAACGAACGAAACCAACGAAACGGCTCGGGCTAGAAAGAGAATTCAAGAAATAGACGAAGAAACTAAATATCTAAAATCAGATTAGGCAAATGAGAAGTGCGTGCGTAACACGAGTGAAATTACATGCATCTATATATACATATATAAATCAGAATGTTGCCTCACTTCAGAAACTACCTAAGCGCTATGTAATTTTCCAATTTTTCGCTGTTTTACTTAATTATTTCGCTCATTGCGCATTTGAATCAGATGAAAATAATAGGCGGAGAAAAGGTGTTGGAAAACAAAAGCGACGGTAAAAGGGTGATAAACAGTCATTTTATTATTACACTGAAATGCATTTTTCCGGAGTTTTTTATTAGTCAAACACACAATGAAAGTTATTTTAATCCGCAAGTCATATTTTATTAGAGGAAAAGCATGTACGCATGTCATTTGAAAGTGGGGCTCTTTTATAGAAAATGAATGGTCCAAGAAAAAGAGAAAAAAAATCAAATGAATCTCCATCGAAATAGGCGGTCGACGGAAATGTCAATGTAACAATAATTATCTAATGCGGTAATAGTGTGCATTTCAAGTTGAAGTCTATGAAGAAAAACAAGTTACATCTCTCATTGCGGCGCTTTTTGAACCATAAATGTGGCGTGCATACATATGAAATATTCTTTCATTTTGTTGTTGTTTTGAAATGTCATTATTCATGTGTGGAATTGTGACATGAAAAATGGCTTTGTCATAACGGTATTAGCGACAAAAAACTTTTCACATCAAACGAAAGACAAACAACAGCTACGAACATTGTTCGGTTGATTAGTTGTATATGCTAGTTTTGCACATTATTTATTCAATTGTTTGTTTTTTCTTCACAGGAACTGATCCAGATGGTAGTCTCATTCGATACAGTATTTCCGGTCCGGTATTTAGTGTGGACCGTGAAACAGGAGTGGTGCGGCTGCGACAAGAGCTTGACAGAGAAAAGCAAGACACAATCGAAGTCATTATCAGTATAACAGGTGAGGATTCATGAGTGTTTTATATGTCATTGGGTCGCAAGCGAAGAAAAAAAAATTCTATCAAAAATCCATGTTTGATTACACACGCACGCGCTCACACGGCGTAACTTTATACCATCGTATCAAAGACAAATCACCTAGCCCAACAATTCGTTTGTATATTCGTCTTCGAGTAACGGTGATACACGTTTTGAAACTATGTCATTTTTGCCGCTCGTCTAATCTCCGATTTAATACACAGACACACACAAACTGACTCTCTGTCGAACACACATGACATCGAATACACTCTCGCACATATACATAACAAATGATGCGTGTACAGATTCCTATAAGTTAATCCAATGAAGACGAAACTTCAATGAAAAGAGACTTCTTACGCGACTCAAGAGAGTTCTGTCGTGTGCGAGAGCACTCGCACTAGCACGCATAAACCAGCTCTCTCAATCCACCAGCAAAAACCGGTATGACAGTCTAAACAGTTATGTGCATTGTTTTCTTTGCTCGTTTTGATTCTTTGTATAGCGGTAATTACTTATTACGTAGATGGTTTACGTGCTGGTATCTTTTGTGGTTATTATTATGAGCATACAAGTGTATGCGGTTTTAAGAAGAGATGAGAAAACGCGTAGCGAGTCACCTCGTTCCATTCAGATCCAAAGGAACGTGATATTGCTTTACAATTGGCCTTGAATCTCTTTTGCTCGATACCAATTTGAATTTGATTCTCTCGATATATCATACATTTTTGACATACCTTCATATATGTATAGCATCTTTCATTCGTTCAAACAACAATAGCAACAACAACAACAAATTTAAATTTATCGTTTCAGATGAAAGTATTTTCGGCGTTGAACCAAATACCGTGTCGTTGCGACGTGAAATCACGGTGAAAGATTTTAATGATAATGCGCCCCAGTTTATTGGGCGACCTTATTCGACGAGCGTCAGCGAAGAAACGCCAATCGGTAGTATTATTGAAGTTTCACCAAATATTATGGTCACCGATCCGGATGAAGGGAAAAATGCTCAAGTTACACTCGCCTGCATCGCCACCGATGGTGACTTCGATGATATTTGCGACATTTTCGATGTGGTCACCGATCGCATTAGCGACGGTAATTTCACTGCAATCATCACACTAATGAAACCACTTGATTTTGAATCACGGTCATCATATATTTTAACGCTGCAAGCACAAGATGGTTCCAAAACTAATCCGCTGTCATCGGTAGCCACGATTTCGATAAATGTGGTTGATAAGCAAGATCAAGCTCCAATTTTTTTAAATGCACCGTATTCGGTGACAATACAAGAGAATATGCCCGAAGACTCACTCGTGTTGACGGTTATCGCACAAGACGGAGACACGGGTAATCCAAGACCTATTTTACTATCGCTTGAAGATGAAGATAAAGGTTATTTTAAATTGGAACAAATCTCATCGAATGCCACGGCTGTTCTATACACAACTGATATTCCGATCGATCGAGAAGATATGGATATTTTTCAAAACGGTGGCGTTTATTCGTTCTATATCCGAGCCACTGAACTCATTAACGGCGAACTTCCTGCTGACTATTCTATAACACAAGTTACTGTTGTTATTACCGATGTAGATGATCACATGCCCGAGTTCAACGAACAACATTTCGAAATCGATGTGCCTGAGAATTTGGGAAAAGGTACACCGTTGCCCGGTTTGTCGATATATGTGGATGATAAAGATTTGGGAATGAATAGCCAATACAATTTATCACTGACAAATATTTTGAATGCTGAAGACGTATTTGAAGTCAGTCCAAAAAGTGGCTTTGCAAAAACTCCGATCGTTGTTAAGGTACTGGACCCATCGAAATTGGACTATGATGTAGACAATCCCGATTTGCGCATTCTTAAATTCGATTTGATAGCATCAGTGAATGGCGTTAGACTGTCGAGTGCAAGTGTGACGGTTTATTTGCAAGATGTTAATGACAACGGTCCAATATTTGATAAATTAACCTATGATTTTTCGGTGAGTGAAAATGATGAAATCGGAACGAAAATTGCCGATTTATCGGCCACTGACAAAGACAGTGGAAAATTTGGTAAAATCACGTACGTGCTGAAAGGATTTGGATCGGAGAATTTCCGAACGGAGAAATACACCGGCGGACTGTATGTGAAGAAAAACCTAGATTATGAAAACCAAAAGAGTTACAGTTTGTCCATTGTTGCCATCGATGGTGATGGCTGGGAAACCAATGCAAATATTCAGATTTTTGTCCTTGATGAGAATGACAATGCACCGATTTTCGAGTCATCCGAGTACACACGAACCATTCGTGAGGGCGCCACGGAATTTGAGCCTGAATTTTTTGTTCGGGCTATTGATATCGATGGGCCACAGCAAGGCAACGGGAATGTGGCTTATTCAATTGACACAGAAAATAGTGTATCGGGCCATGTGTTTTCGATCGATGCTGAAACGGGTGAAATCAAAATTGAAAGTCCCGTCAGCTCGGTGGACACAGAACGCGGTCAATATGAACTTGTGGTTACGGCTACTGATTTTGGAACGCCAGCGTTGAAGAACACAACTCGAGTACTCATCCGTGTCGGTATATCGGGCAATCAGCGACCGATATTCAAGAAAAGATTCAGCAGTGTCGATATGAATGAATTACCTGGGCCAACACGATACAAAGTGTCAATCCCAGAAAATGCTCAGCCCGGCTACAATGTAACAACCGTTTCAGCTACCGATCCCGATGGACTCGACATTTTACTCACATATCGCATTGTTGGCGCCAACGATAACTTCGTCATTGATGAACAGTATGCGAACTTATACGATTCATTCCTTGAAGGCAATTTTTTTTTTAAATTGAAATTAATGTTTATTTCAGAACTGGTTTGGTCTCAGTGTCAACAGTTGCACGGTTGGATCGCGATACAAATCCACATGAATATTCCCTGATCTTAAACGCCGTTGATGCTGGCTATCCGATTAGTGAAACCGGAACCGCGACACTGCTCATTCAAGTTAGCGATGTAAATGATAAACCGCCCAAGTAAGTTGTATTTGTGTTGTTGCAACGGCTTTTGCCCTATAGAAATATTTTTGGAACATATTCGTTGGTCAAATTTATTCAGTTTCGAAAACGGTTGATCAAAATTTAATTGAAATTGGGAAAAAAAACCTTTCAATTCGAAATAAAATATTCAATTTACTCATTTCTCAAACTTTTAGATTTACGCAATCCAGTTACACAGCGTATGTGTCTGAGCGAACGCCAATCGGAAGCGAAGTTTTGCAACCGTCTGCAATCGACACGGATGTCGATGCAAAGCTGATCTATTCAATAATCGATCCAATCGAAGCGGCATCAAAAACGGGAATTCAATTAACATCAATCGCATCGTATGATTATCGAACAGCATTTCGAATTGAGTCAACAAGCGGAAAAATCTTTGTAAACAATACACTAAATCATGATTTAGCGGCTGAAATCACCGTTACCGTTAAGGTTGTCGATGGGAATGCCGTTTATAATAAAGAAAAGCAAACGGCCAAAACTGAAGTGACCATTTTCATTCAATCGTACATCGATACGAATCCAATATTCAAGAATAAAGGATGGGTCAGCAGCAATCCCATCGTTAAGGTCAATGTAAAAGAAGAGATGCCAATCGGAAGTACGCTCTTCAAATTGGTGGCCGAAGATCCAGTGATGGAACAAAAGATAAATCATTTCGAAATTGTTGAAGCGGATCAATACCAGTTTTTCAGTTTGAATGAAAAAACCGGTGCTATTATGTTGGAGAAACGGTTAGATTATGAGGCATTAAACGAGACTGTAATTCAATTTACTGTCAAAGCAATCAGTGCGGATGAGAAACGGGCGTCCGTAAGCAAAGTTAAAGTTACGATCGAAAATGTAAACGATAATTCACCGGAATTCGATCAGAAAACCTACAAAGCGGTAATTAAGGAAAATTCCAAATATCCAGAGAACATTCTCACCGTGCATGCAAAAGACAATGATGCTGAATGGACCCACCAAGATCACGATATTGGATTTCGAAGAGTTCGTTACTCGTTGTCGGGATCGAATGCTGTGAATTTCATAATTAACGAAGAAACGGGCTTGATTCAAATTGCTCCAAATCAAACGATTGACAGGGAAAAAACATCAGAAATGAAATTCATTGTGGTTGCCGAAGATGCGGTAGGAAAGCCAACGGAAACACGAAGAAACTCGGCCGAAGTTACAGTGACCATTTTGGATGAAAATGATAATGCGGTTTGTTTCCAATTTGTTTTTCGAAATTTTCATTCACTTCAGTATTGAAATTAACATTCGAAATTTTACAGCCAAGCTTCACGCAAAAGTCATACTCGGCGGTGATTCCCGAAAGTGCCGCCATCAATACCTTCGTCTTCAATATAAGTGCGGTCGATCCAGACGATGGTCCAGGTGGGGAGATTTTCTACGACTTTTTAATCGAAGGCGATGCAATTAGTTTACTCAAAATTAACCCGAAAACCGGCGAAATTCGAACGAGAGCACCACTGACTGGCAAGGGACGTTCCCATCCATATGACATGGTAATCCGTGCTCAAGACAATGGCGGCCGTGTGGAAAAACAGAAATCCCTCTTCAACGATGCACCATTTGTGCTGTTCATTGGCGATGTCATTTCAAACTATGCACCATTCTTCATAGCTCCGAAACTCGGACAAGTCGCAAATATTACCGAGGTAAATAGTGCCATTGTGTTTTGTCAATTAGATTAACACGATGCAATCATCAAACTGTCATTAATCAATCACTTGAGAATTTCGAAAAACGAAAATCGGATGAGTCATCCGGTTGAATAGTGTACGAATGATTGATCACATCGGATGTTTGAGTGTGCAACACCTTGTTTATGTTTACTTTGACTTTGGTCTCCCATGCAGAACGCAATAAATACATGGATTTTGTTTTTGTAGAATGCTACCATTGCAACCCCTGTATTCCAAGTGATTGCAAGCGATCCGGACAATGAAATGACACCGAGTGGAACGCTTTCATTCCGTATTCAAGATGACATTGAAGATGCGTCTGCATTTAAAATTGGTAAAATTGAAACGCTTGAAATTTTAATTGAGGAAATAGAACTTGATTTACCATTGAATTAAATTTGTTACTTGCAGATCCAACGACTGGTTTGATTACGACGCTAAAGTCGTTGGATCGCGAAACAAAAGCCACTTACAAAATTATTATCGAAGTATCCGACCAAGGTCAACCACCACAATCGGTCACACGAGTGTTACGAATTAATGTGCTGGATATCGATGATCATCGTCCGAGATTTGCTAGAGAAATCGTAAGAGATAATTTCATCTTTTTTGTCTATGGTAGAAATAGTTTTGACGTCGATTGTACTTGACCTATTGCGTTCGATTCAACATGAAATTGAAAATCGCCTTTACAATTATGATTAATGGAATAATCATTGAATTTTACGTTTCAATCGATTCAATTCAAACGAATTCATTGATTCATCTTCGCTTAGGAATCCCTGCCGGTTGATATGTCCATGTTGGAAGAGCAGCCGCCTGGTTCGATTGTCGGTTACTTGCAAGCAATCGACGAAGATATAAACGAGAATGGAGCTATTGACTACGTCATAATCGATGGAAATCAAGAGAATTTATTCACCATCGAGCGATTGACCAACAATACAGCTGTTGTGCGTTCATTGCAACAGTTTGATCGTGAAAAGGTGGCATCGTATTTGATAACGGTTAAATGTTTCAAATACGGGACGCCGCATGCAGCCATCGCTCACAAGTCTTACACCCGAAAGGATTTCTCTGAAATCGAAGTGCACGTCAAAATCATCGATGTGGACGATCATCTGCCGGAGTTCATAGAGAAAAATCCATCATTTGGCGTTCGCATGAATGTTCCAATCGAATATCCATTGACGATTGTCAAAGCCGTGGACAAAGATCCCGACGCCCAACCACTATTCTATCAAATAGTCAACATCACATTCGTTCCACAATTTTATAAACGTGACAACAGTTCCGTTGAAAATGTTAAAGACCTTTTCATTTTGAATAATGCAACAGCTGAACTACGAACCGCAAAGAGTTTAGCCGACTTTGTTGATGGCTATTTCGAGATTTTGGTTCGAGTCAACAACATCGATCAAGTACGACGGGTGCGACATAACAAAGTGAAGATTTTCGTTATTCGTGATAAATCCCTACTGAGATTTGTATTCGCCAAACCACCAACCGAAGTCAAAGAATTCATCGATGAATTTGCAAACGCTGTTCAAGCCCGACTGCAGGCTACCGATTTGGAACTCGATATTTTAGACACAAAAGTACTCACCAAATCCGATCAAACATTCGATTTTTCAGCGACGAGGTAAACTTTTCTTTTGGAATTTAAACTAAAATAATCTACTGGATGCATAGTTTTAAATAAATCTATTTATTTTAGCTCATGCTTCCAATTATCACGACATGGATCCGTGTTACCACCACATGATATGCAAATAATTATGGATTCGGAAGAAATGAAGCAATCTTTGGTCGATCTCTTCGAAAAGTATTCGGTCAGTGCGATTGATTCATGCGCGGTAAAGAAAACGGTTACAGCAGCCAGTGTGATTGCATCGGCCGGTACGTGGCTCGTCATTTTATCGGGTGTCATTGGAATATTCGCATTGGTAGCCACATTTTCGGCATGCTGTTTGGCAAAGAAGTGAGAGAATTTAGTTGGCTTGTTTTGAAAAAAAATTGAAATTAAATCCAACATAACTTTCCCTAGGTACAAAGATCAATCGAAGCAATTATTGGGTAGTAATCGAACACCACCTGAATCATACGGACCCGGAACGTCAATTTTATACACAGAACCAATTTATGGGCCACTTTAACTGCCTTGCCTTATTTTAGAAAACAAAAATCGATTAAATGAAATGTGTTTGTGATATAATAAGTGTACAATATTGGAGAACGGATCGAATTTTTGTATTCGCAGCAGAATGTTTTGAAAAAAAAAGTTTGTTTTAAAATGCATTTATTTTATATTTGTACAGTTTAAGGTTGATTTAGTTGTAAATAAAATGAGTCAATAGAGATTAAGAATGAAAATGGTTTGCGTTTTATTTCTTGTCAATTTTCCATGGTAACAAATCTATTAGCGAAATGGCGTCGATTTAAATCCCAAAATGAAAAATCTTTAATCGGTAATGTAACAAAGCGGCAAAGGTAAAACTTGGCAAAATATTGACACAACGCATCGAAGGCGTTCAAAGTTCAAACACTCTCAAACATATTTATTGAGCCGACCAGAAAAATAGAAGGCTTTTCAATGTGATGCTCATAACAAAACACAGAAGAGAAAGAAAACAACTAACATACACAAACCAGAAAACACAACACAAAATCAAATACATCACATCTAAAGTGGATTCGAGCTCGTATCCCTTGTTTGTTTAAAAAATTTAGTTTACAATGTAATTTTTTCTTCTTTCTCTCTCTCTCTCTTGTTTGATGATGTTGCCTTGGTTCAGCATTCGCTTCGTTTAACGATTCGGCTCGAATATCACCCGTGTTACGTGTATGTGTATTGCTTAGCGCAACTATTCCAGTTCGGAGGTAGCATTTTAAAAACCATAACGAATTTTTGATAGGGTTACATATGATGCAGGGCCGCAAATATCATCAGCAACGGCTAAAAATCAACTCAAATAAGAAAAGTGCCTATTGGAATAGAAAAAAACCCAATGGTAGCGAATGAATGGTTGAATGAAAAAAAAAATCCTAATGAAAACAAAGGGGTTGAAAAATGCTACATTTCGGCATGTATGGTGACTGTTTCAGTTGTTGTTGTTTTTTTTTGTCGTTCAGTGCGTACGAGAGAAGCTCGTTAAATGCTACATGACCTAAACATTGGATTAAGCAAAGCGTGTTTTAACGCATTTCATTTGTAACAATGTTTTTTTTGTTCTCTCTGTCTCTATCTTTCATTCGCTGGGATTCAGTGCTTTAGATTGAAACAACCTCTCGTCGGTTCAAAATACAAATACATTCATTGATGCAATGGATTTACATGACATGAATCAGTGGCTCACACTCAACTCCATATAAACATCAAAATAAACAACGAAAAAAAAGTTTCAAATGAATTTTAAATCTTATTTAAATACTGCTCTGTGCGACGTACATTGCATTCGATCGTCATCGTCTCGCATGACATTTATTAGACACGATTATAAGCGATTACAGAATAAACAGAGCTCGAGCGCTGGATTAGCCGAATTTTTATCTTGTGCAAACACAACAGGTAGATTAACGGTTTATAGCAACTGTTTTAATTGAAGCGAACAGTTTTTTTTTGCTTCATTTAGTTTCAATTGTTTTTTTTTTCTTACAATTTAATTTAAATTTATGAAATGTGTAGTCTTTACTTTAGAGAGGCAAAAGATGACGAAAAACAGTGTTGAATTCAACTCTCATTTCATCATGAATTCGATGCATTAAACGACTTAAAGGGCATGATAAAATGCTAGTTTTTGTTTGCTAAAAGTCGTTGCTCGTAAAACGGGAATAAATTATGCAAGTTATGAAATGACTTTTTTCGCTATTACAATAAATCATTTGGCAATAACAATGAAGCACTTTTTTCTCCTATTCGCATCGAAATGGGGTGCAACGCACCGTACTGAGCGCAAACTACACGACGGCCTCTAGTTCAAAGAAGTGTTTTTGATGTGAATAGAGAAAGGAGAAAATGCATATGATCGATTCGAATTGCAGCTGGAAAGATGTGTCACAACTCAATGAATGTTAAATATCCAATGGATTTTTAAAATACTTGCTTTGTAAACAATGATGCGCAGTGCATTGAGGTGGTAAATGCTATTTAAATACGAAATCCGAATCATATTTTTCACCATTAAAATCGTTTAAAAGCCAAGAGAGAACAATGGAAATTTAAATTTTCGCATTTAAAATACTTGATTGAAAATTAGCATTCGAAATGTTTAACGGAAGAAGAAGAAGAAGAAAGAGAACGACGAGTTAAAAGTTTGCGTGAATTTTTCTGTTGACTGCGTAACTCTTCAATTTTCCATCTAATGATCCGTGCAAATACCATCTGCTGAATTCAATGAATAGCAAAACAAACACGAGATGCACAAAAATCGCAAAACTCATAAATTCCAAACTCTTTTTAACTCGACCCGATTAATTCGACCTTTTCGTGCTTCATTTATTTCATTTGGCAATCTTTGCCGCGCTGCAGCAAATCAATAAAAATGAGCGAAATATTAAATGCCAACGGAACGGAATGGCAATGATTTCCGAAGATTTCGGCAATTTTTACGCCAAATTCTCGCCTTTTGACGCTTTAATACCCTTCTGCACTTTCGGGTTGTTGATTTTTATTTATTCTGCCGCAATGAATATCATCGGCTAAAGCCGTTCACTGATCTCGGTTCAATGCCAGAAAAAAAGGGTTACAGTTATGGTTTTTTTGACGAATTTATGCGAATCGATATTAAGGTGCAGAAAATCGCAATAAAATTGATTTCACACTTCATATTATTGTTATGTTTTTTTCCTCGCTCGCTGCACATTTGTCCGCTATGCGTTTTTTTCTTTTGTTTGGTTAGAACGATTACTTTTCATGAGCAGTAGTTCACAATTTTTATTTTTATCTGTTTATCTAACTGGCGTGTTAATGTGCGTGAGCTACTTTCGTACAGTATTTGCTTTGGATTTTTCCGATGTATAGCCGTGTCAACGTTGAGCCATTTTAATCACATATCGTTCAAATAGAAAACGAATGTATTTCTGTTATTTGGTTTTTATTGTTGCAGAGCATATGGTCAAATATTGGATCAGTGGCGGCGATATCGGCCACGAAATCAAAGAACCACGAATAGCTTTCTGACATTCAAGCAAAATAATTTATAAGTCGGTTTGCAATCGGTCGGTTACTTTTCTCGAAATTGCTTCATTAGGCAACCAAAATGCAACTCTCTAAGCAGATTAACCTATTGACCCGAATTCCCGACACCATCACATTCTGATCGCTAATAACACATCGGTCAATAAGTCCCGAGCCTAACCACCAAGTGGCAACACTAATGTCAAACCCATATCATTTTCAAAAACTACAACCTTTTTTAGGAATCCAGTCAAAATTTGAGCCAAATCCGACCATCAGTTCGCTAATTACAGCACTTTAAATGAAGCAATTTTCCAATTTTCCAAAATCATGGAAAAACTGCATTTCTCCTCTCGATTTGACACATGTATTCCAGAAGAAAAACGAGCAGGAGTACCAAACCCATACTATGATTAGTTTATGGCATCCTTAGGCTTTCGAAATCAATCATTAGATATGGAAGAATTGAATTTATGCATAGCCATAAGAGCGATTTTGTCGATAAGCCTCCAAATTGTTCAAAATATGTGGTTTTGGAAGAAATCATTGCCAAAATCCGTTAAGTGATATCGGAATTCTCAAATGTGATAGTTCATAGATTTGCTAAGGCCATAGGGCAACTAACTCAAGCTATAGTTACAACTTTGCATGGATATATGCATATGAAATACTCAATCGAAAAAGCCTTGCCGCGTTTTTGGATATGGAGTAGATAGAACAGTTTTTTGGGGATTCGAAGCCCGTTTGGAGCTGTATAAGTAAAATTTGAATAGGGTTTTGCCTTTATATATTAGAATTAATGTATTTTGAGTTCATTTGAATAGATTCGATCTATAAATTGCGGGTAGAAATCGCCAAAAACGGTTTGTAGCGACCAAGGTCGCAAAATATGAGTTCGGGCATTATTAGTGGATTTAGGTATAGAAAAATATTCGCGAACCAGTGGGAAAGATATAAAACAACATGAAAAGTCACTTATGCATCATTTTAGACCTATCCGAATGTCAAATCTTGATAAAACATAGCAAATTTGGCGAAGAAAACTATGTTGTTCAAATGCGAGTTTCATCCAGGTCAAAGAACTGTTTATATGGTGATATAATTGAACGAAATTGGTTTCAAACTGCTTCACTAACCATTGTATTTTTTAGGTCTGGTCATTCTCTGAACTCTCCACATGAATATACTTGAATACAATGCATCAGAAGAAAGTTATACCGTTTTAACGGCAAAATTGAAGCATTTTCGGGAGTCTTTCTCTCGTATAGCTGTAACTAGCAAACTGATGGTCGGATTTGGCTCAAATTTTGACTGGATTCCTAAAAAAGGTTGTAGTTTTCGAAAATGATATGGGTTTGACATTAGTGTTGCCACTTGGTGGTTAGGCTCGGGACTTATTGACCGATGTGTTACCAATACCGATCGAATATTTCACGAGCGGATAGAGAAAGGAAAAAAAAATGCAAATCGCGCGCCTTTAAACTACACATCAATTTAACACATCCTAAATACATGGACCGGTGACCACATTACTATATCTCAACGGGCTCTTGTGAATCCAATTACAATTATTAACATTTCATTTAAATTTTGTATAAATTTACATAATTTTCGTTTATCCTCCTCCCACCGGAGCGACGGCAGTGTGGGGACAACAGCAACAACCACCGCAATGATGACGACGACAAACGGAAAATATAGCATGTAAACATGTAGCCATGGCACGCGCACTCAACATCGATTGGCCAAAAAAGTGTACGCGAACACTTTTCAACACGACCAGTAACATCCCTTTCATTAGTTGCTTAAATAATGCACGAGCTACGAAAATGCGTTCTCGCTGAGGCAAAGCCAACAAATAGACGAAGAATAAAATAAAATACGTATTTTGTGTGTGCTGTGTGCGTTTCATTTTTAATGTTATTGATATATTTACATACACCACCACCATCGCTCGCTCACTCGTTTCATTCGCCCGTTCAGTTCGTTCGCTTGCTCACTCTTTCGTTCGTCCGTTCGCTCAACATCCCTCTCACCACTTATGCACACACACATATCGAACTAGTTGATCCTTGCGGCACTATTTATGTGTTCATACTCAGCCCGATGTATAAATATGATGACGTTGAACCGGTATGAGTTTAGTCGTGCTAGAGATTCGCTGTGTGAAACAACCCTCCCAGAATAGATAGGCTGTCCCACGGAATCGACTAACGATTCACAGTCAAACAAACACACATACGTACGCTCGCTCACTCAACATTCATCCTTCGGAATCGGGACGATCAACGAAAACGAACCATTTTAACGTAGTGAACAATGTCGATTTCAAAGCATGTTTTGCTCTTTGATCGGCAATTTTTCTTAGTTTTGTGCTTGAACTTTTGAAAGAAATGACATTGATTTTAGTGTTTGTGTTGCCGTTAAAATTGTGAACATTTTGTTTCTCGCCTTTTTAAAACTGTGCTTTCGACGAAATTCAACAACGTGCTTGACGAAACAAGGAGATAAAAGTGAAAAAGAAAAGGAAACCGTGTAAAAACAGAAAAAATTGTGAAAATGTCATCGTGTTACAGCGGATTTTCCTCGTCTTTGGACGATTTTGAGTGCTCATCAACGGATAGTGGATTCGAGAAGAGCTATGAGAGTATTTCCGGAATAAGTGCACACAATCTGAGCTACAATCAGCTCAACATCACTGGCAATTCTGAAAGCGATCACATGCCTGCCGTTTTGAATCCACTGATTACACATACCGCTTTGGATGAATTCACACCAAATCTGGGGATGCAAACATCAACACCGCTCAAAGCGAAGAACAATCAAGCCAATAGCAACAATAACAGTAGTAAAAACAATGCAAACCATAACAATGGCATCATTCGGCCGAAGCGAAAATATGCGGTCGGAAAAAATCGAATGACCCGATCGCGAAGTCCATCACAAGTGATGCGCATCAAACGAACCCGTCGCATCAAAGCAAATGATCGCGAACGCAACCGAATGCATACGCTAAATGAAGCTCTGGAGAAACTGCGCTGCGCTCTTCCGACTTTCCCCGAAGACACAAAACTGACGAAAATTGAAACGCTACGATTTGCGCACAACTACATTTTTGCAATGGAACAAGTGCTACAAAATGACCAAGAAATCAATTTGGATTTGGAGAAATTGCAAAGCATCACGCTCAGCGGCGAACCGTTTACCAAAGAACTGTTTGACGCAATGTTTGTGCATCCGAACACGTGTCAAATGAATGGATTCTCATCGTGTGACTTCTATAGCAGCATGCAACAGTATCACACAATCCAGCAGCAGCAACAACAGCCAGCCAACTATACAAATGACCCGTCGTTTTCCAAGCAAAATTACGAAATCTTCCGCGGTGCATTTGAAACGGCCATAAATCAGGGTCCAAACTATCAACCGACATCGGTCAATCCACAACAGCCATCGAACTTTGGACCAACCTGCGATAATTTCAATAATAACAACAACAACAACAATAATCACCAGCATCAAATCGGAATGATAAATATTCAAAGTCGTCGGTTGCCACCACAGCATCGAATACCAAACGGCAGCATCCATCAAAACAGCAGCTTTTATACGCACACACCACCATGGAAGGATTATACCGAGCAAATGACGAACACATTCGCACAATATCAGACTTTATAGCGAATTAAGTATAGTTTATTAATTCTATAGCACTGTCATCATGTTGAAAGAACCCGACACAAAAATACTCCAATTGGATCGATGAGAAAACGGAGAAAAGGTTTGTCGCTAACATTTTGACTGAAGAAACTCTTTTGTTTGAGGGTTTTTTTTTCTCTTCACAATTGAATGCATTGGTTAAGAGTGTTTCACTTTGACGACATTCACAATTGGAATGTTCGACTCTTCTGACGCAACTTAAACACTCTGCACCGAATCCATTCAAACTTTGTTTTAGCTATTAGCATTTTCACCGTTTGAATGTTTTCTTATTTGCATTTTTGTTTTCATTTTCATCATTTTGGAAAATAAAAAAGTACAAAAGAACCGGAAAAATTCGGCGAAATATGAATGCAAATGGGAACACCATTCTTAAATACGCACAGAAATGTTTTCTTGAAGAGAAAACGAATTTCTGTCTCTAAAGAAAGCGAAGACCAATTGATCCAAAATTTAGGACGGCTCTAGTCACACATTGCAACAGTTGAACAAATGAAATTACCAAAAACAGAATTCTTCTATGTAAAGTTTATGGCTAGTTTTTTCTCTTTCGAATATTCAAAGGCAATATTTATTGTAATGGTTCGATTTGTAATGCTTTAATTTTTCGATTTTTTGTTCTGTGAATGAATCTCACATCATTTTCTACGGGTATCGTTTTCATTTTCAATTTTTCTTTCTCTTCGGTTCAATAGTTTCCTTTGAATATCTTCTCATTCGCTCCATTCGAATTTTTTTAAATTCCAGAACGGTTTTTTTTTCTCTCTTGCGTTTGAAGAAGAAAAAAACAGCGAATTTAGTCCCATTACAATGAAATATGTATACACGAAACGAATTTGACAATTGAAATTGACCAATAAAAAAAAGCTAAAGTATAAGTAATTCTCAATAGGAATCTGTGTGACGAAGAAAAATTGGGAAATTTTGCGATTGCATTTTGTGTGATACAAAATGAAAAAGAAAGTAAAATGCAGCGACACAATTTCATCAGCCTGACACACCGAAAACACATGCGTTCAAATTTTTCATGAGCAAAAGAGATGAAAAAAATCTCTAAAATATTTGAAGGTGTTTGTTTTTGTGATTGCCGACACTTTTTAAACAAATTGACGAACAGAGCAAAATTTCGTTGTTTAGAAGGTATCGCCATGACAAGAGATGCTCAACACATAGTTTTTACAATAAATGAATGCCTTTTTCATAGATTTAAGCTAAGCAGATCAAATTTACCTATATTTACAAACTTTGCAAACAGAAGAAAAACACTTTTTTTCTTATTGAAAATGCTCAATGATATTAAATGAAAAACAAAAATGGAAGATTCTATTTACAAAATGGCACAAATATACAATGTTATAAAGTCATAAGATAAATTTGACAAGAGTAGATGCAGTAACGAAAATCGAAAATAAAGCAATCAATTACATGGAAATTAAAATGCAGTTTTCTTTTTATTATTTTTCATTTTGAATTTTCCGATGAAAATCTATATCGTGAGCTGGAAACAAATCGTGATTTATTTGAAATGTAGATCCAGATGCCTTTTTTTCTCTGTCATTCGATCATCAAAGGTGAGTAGTTCAAATGGATTGCGAGGATATTCAAATGAGGTACCTTCGGGCGATCGGGTACAAAGCATGCGCGTTATACTGAAAAATAAACGACACAATAAATAACGGAATTAAGAATTTATGCAACAATGGGAGAAACAAGACGCGCACGTACACACACACATACACAAAAAGATCAGATGACTGGAATTGAATTCAAATACGTACGCGCCGGCTTTTTATCAACGTCAACAGCGAACAAAAAAAATAAATTCACCGTTGACACCTCAGGGGGCATTTGCTTGAATGCCGATTATATTTTTTATTATAGTTATTACTATGTAGTTTTTTTTGTTCCAGATTTTGATGCCATAAAGCAGATTGCTTCGAATATCACGAAAAAAAATCGGGCTAAATGAATGCGCCCGATCAAATTCCGGCGAAAAAGAGCGTGCGCTACATTCGATAGTTAGGTGCACATTAAATCAACGCACCGAAGCAGGAAAAAAACGGGCGAATAAAAAATGCGCCCTTGTTCAATTCGGATGCAGTTAGTAAAATAATGTATTTCTGCATTGATGCCATTGTTGGGCTAGAAAAAAAAACTCGTGCCTAAACTTGCTAAAATGTCGCCAGTGATTATCAGTTGTGCCCGATAGACACAAAGACAGACACCCAAGCACAATGTGCTCATTCTGAATTTGATCGAATCGCTTTGGATAATCTTCATCGCATTTGTGCCGCGTTTCTCCGTAAACGGGCTAAAACAAAGTAAAAGCCAAAGCAAAACACATTTTCTCTCATTTCGGCCTGCTGTACAGTGTACACGGCCAGCGATCAGCGAAACAACACACAATCGCTATTTTATATGCCATTCATGAATGCATAAATCCAACTACATAAATACTGAACACAGCCCTTAAATCCATTTCGATTCCTATTTTTCTCATTCACTCTCTCGATTTTCTCATTTCTTCGCTCTTTGCTTCGTGTACATGCTCATTGTGCCAGTGATTTGATTTTGAAGTTTGGTCCCTCTCCCGTTTTGCCGTATTAGATCGCTTTTATTGTTCGAAATCGAAGTGAGAGCTAAAGAGCACAGACTAATGTTTATACTATACAATTTTCATGGGGTGAGTCGAAAACAAAAGACGATTTCACGTCACCTGCCAACCATTATATAGCACATTCACAGTACAGACGCACACACGAACACGAACACATTCACTGAATGCGCACGGAAATTTACTAGTCGGATCGCGCTAGCTCTGTGTGTACTACATATATCAAATGCGTACATATGCGCCTGTGATATATTGTACCGGGCATGCAATGCAGTCGAGAGTACAGCTACTCGTTGATAGGTCGATGCGTGTATGCGTTTACAGTAAACAAGAATTGTGCGAGCGCAATTGAGAGAGAGAGAGAGAGAGAGCGAAAGATTTTTATTATGATTTTCATATGGGTCTTGTTCACTAGTTTAGTCGGCTGCAATCAAGTTATTATTTTATAAATGAGCACCCCCAAAAAAAGCCGAGAGAGAAACAGAGAGAACAAAACACCATTCTAGATGCGATGAAGTGCGCGCATATTTTCACATTGACGCAGCGTGCGCGCGAGAAAGAAGGATGATCTGTGTGATACATACAGCAACGGCCACGAGCAACAGCATAACTGAAAACAGGGTACAGACGCATGCTTCGCCACCAACCGAATACTGGCTCTCCCGTGTGCATTTATTTCCATTTATATCTCACATCTCTATACATTGTTATTTGTATTGTTAACAATCACAATGAAAAGGTATAAAAATGAATAATCATAATAACGGCAAATGAAAAGTCGAACTATTAACACAGCCCTCACTGTCAAGATTTAAAAACACTGATAGATTTTTGGACGCTTTTTATTTCTCCGGTCGCTCGCTTTGTTTTTCAACTGCTCGTTTTGTTCGTTCGTTTTTTTTGCTTTGCTTTGCTTTTTCCATCCCTCAAATTTGAACAAACAGTGTACTGGTGGATGCATCGGTAACTGTGTAACGAATACTTCTTTTTAAGATCATCCAAACAAGATACGCTAATGTTTATAATGGATTCGAGGTCATCAGATTATTGTGCCATTCGATTCGCTATCGTCGTCAATGGGGAAATGCAATTTTAATTTGAATTTGATTATCGATCTGGTTGTTCGATTGGTAATGAGCGGTTTTTCACGCATTAAATGCGTTTCCATGCATTTTACGACTTTCCAACTGACAAGGACAACAAAGTCATTGAAATATTTGTAGAGATTCGGTTAATCGCACCAGTACGAAATTTGGTTTGATATAAAATTCGCCGAAATACGAATCAATTGAACTATTCCCAAAAACGAATGCTCGTCAAATTAATCACTTCATTAAACACGGTGCACATTTACGATTGCTTTCATCTTACAGCTCGTCATTGGAAATAAACGGATACGAGTATTTTCAAGAGTCTGAATGGACTTTGGTCTGCACCTACAATTGAAATAAATTAAATGCGAGTAATCCGAGGAGAGGAACCAAGATCCAATTGTAATTCAATCATTGAATTCAATTTGGCCGAATGAATCCAACGGTAATGCAGCCAATTTTTAAGCATAACACTCACATAGAGAGCGACAGACAAAACGAATTGTTGCAAAGATTCAAATCGTGTATCGGCGAATGTTTATGAGTCGAGACGGGTTTAGTTTTCCAAATAAAATACATGTATATGATTACAGTGGAAAAAGCAAAGGCGTCAATCATTATTAATCCAAGTACATTGGCAGTTTCGTCGAGGGAGACGCGCTCTCGCATACACACAAAATTATCGACAGTCCCCTTGATCAAGTGCAGACGAGAAAACACAAACGAACAGGACCAGTAAAAAAATTGCATTTTTTTTAGTTTTATTCTTTGTTCAATTCAATAAAGAACATCTAAACTGAGTCCACTGCGAACAACGTCTCTTTTACGCTAAACGCAATTCGTACACGAACGAGACAGTGTGACAGTTGGCGTGAGCGAGACAAAGTTTGGCAGCAAACAATTTGGTTATGTCGGTTTAATGTTCTTTAGTGTACACTGTACACCATCCGAATAATATGGGATTGGAATAAATTTTCAGCTTGAATTTCTAAATTTCGCCTGGAAACATACGTACCGAGAAATATCCTTCAAAAGTATGCTAACAAGGTTTGAATAGGAAAAAAAATAACGAACTCAATGATGCTACTTGATGTATTTACGAAGCAAAAAATAGAGAGAGCGAGAGAGAGAGAGAGAGTAGGTGAGGGAGAGAGAGATGTTAACCCGGGGAAGAAAGCCAGGGCATTTTATTCGGATTTTGGATTGTTTTAAAGTGAAAATTGCCCAAGGCGCAGGAAACTGCATCATGATTGGAGACGAATAAAAATCAGCCTGTGTCGCATAATGAATAGATTCAACTATAATAATGATCATCCTGGCAGCTGTTACTCGTTACCAAACACCACTTTCGATTCCAACACTGAGAGCAAATGAGGGCCAACCATGTACATTGCTCTGACCTCGATCGGTTAAAACGCAATTTGTTATCACCATCCAAACGTTTCGGTCGAACATTGCCGCCGTTTTAATGCACATTTGCAGCAGCAAACATTTCACAATAATTAATCTTTATCGATGAGTTTCCAAAAATGTGGAAAACGGGTGACAATTAGTATTGATGTATTTGAAAACTATTGAACCGTTAAGTAAATCTCTCGCATGGATTTGGTAAAAATGCAACGTTTTTGCTGCTGCTTTGGTTGTTGTTGCATTGTGTATTAAGCACCCAGAGATTATAACACATTCTAACAAAACACACTACCGTATATTTTATCCCTTTTCAGTTGTTTTGTCGAAATCGTCAACGGCTGAAGAACGACAAAAAAAGAAGAGAAATCACGAAAAATAGAGGTGAAATATGCGATGGTTTTTTTTTCTGTACATTTGGCGGAAGTCGAGCTCGCGAATCCGCAATGACCAAGTAAGCCGAAACGAAACATCTGGCCGACAATCAGAATTACCGGCTTCGAACACCTATTTAAATCAATTTCCAAAGTGTCAAAATCCGAACGTTTGCATTTTATGCTTCGCTTGAAATCAGAAATAACAACAACAACAACAACAAAAACGTAGAGGAAACGTGATTATGTCCGTTGAGTCAGACATTACGTCACAAGTCGACAAAACACTTATACCCTTCTGATCGCCACCGTGCACAATTCTCTCTAACTTTGACGATTCGATTGCACGTTAATTAACACACCTGGTACACTCAAAAGTCAAACAGGCTGAAGTGGATTCGCGTGTCAATTTTCTGTTATTTTCAATTTTTTCTCTCTCGCTCACTCTCTGCCCGAGACAGTAGACAGAGGAAAAAGTGCGTGAAAATTAATCGACAACCGAGAGATACTGCTAACGATTATTTCTCATTTTTTTTCTACTTCTAGCTATACTAGCTGTCAAAATCTCCTCAAGTCTACGCACACTAATTTTTTTTTTCATTCCCGATATGTAATGAAGTGAACGAAATGACTACGGTATAAACGGCCCGCACTTAATTTACGCGCATTCATCACGAAATCACAGGCCGATTCATGTTTAGCCATTGTTCGGTTTTCACTCACGGGACAAAGGAAAAAAAATCATTTTTATGGAATATCGGTCGAGAGAGACAGAGACTGGTATACCACTACTATATGGTAATTTTTAGGGGAAATTTCCGTTATTTTTGTAATGCATTTCTGCCGAAAAGCTGCATTTCATGTGGCTTATCGATTGTAACAGCAATCTTAATTGCGTCAGTCTCTTTCTCTCTCGTTCGCAACCAATAGTCTATCCTGCCTGTCTATGAGTGGTAATCATTTGTCGATTTTTCGTTAGCAAACGATGTTTTATTGTTATTGCATTTTATTGGTCGATTTTTCGACCAGCTGATAAAATCATAATTTATGGCAAATGCATTTCGATTTAAACGAATATAATTATTTATTACAACAAATTTGTACCTCAAATTATTTGGGCACGAGATACATTGCCGGCTCTTCTGTATTACACAGCGCACATA